AATCCAAGCTCAACCTGAGATTCAGGTTCCCTACAAGTGGCAGGAACTCTAAGAAAACAAACATCACAAGACGAACTCAAAAACTACAAAGAGCGAAACGTTCCACGTCGTTTTTGGTGTCGGCGGACCTGGTTGGACATCGGCTGCTGCGCTCGGTCCTACAAGAAGCAAAAAGCACAAGAAAGACTTATGTAAACTAGTCACAAAGCGTAAAGCAGCTTCCCGCGTGAGGGTAATTTCTTTGGTTGCTACCGGAATACGTCCGGCGCATGGCAACGTGCAGCCGAGGAACTCTTGGCCCAGAAGCGGCCTGGAGCCAGGCATTGACAATCTGGTCGTGGTCGCGTGGTCGTGGCGGTGGTGGTGGTGGTGGTGGTGGTGGTGGTGGCGGTGGTTGTGGTGGTGGTGGTGGTGGTGGTTGTGGTAGTGGTGGTGGTGGCGGTGGGTAGCCGTGGAGTCGTGGTTGGTAGTAGTGGTGGTAGTGGTGGTAGCGGTGGTAGTGGTGGTGGTGGTGGTGGTGGTAGTGGTGCTGGTAGTAGCAGTAGTAGCAGTAGTAGCAGTAGTAGCAGTAGTAGCAGTAGCAGTAGTAGCAGTAGCAGTAGCAGTAGCAGTAGTAGTAGTAGTAGTAGTAGTAGTAGTAGTAGTAGTTGTAGTAGTAGTAGTAGTAGTCGTAGTAGTAGTAGTAGTAGTAGTAGTAGTGGTAGTAGTAGTAGTAGTAGTAGTATGCAGTTGCCGTTGCAGTAGCAGTAGCAGTAGCAGTAGCAGTAGTAGTAGTAGCAGCAGCAGGAGTAGGAGTATTATTATTATTAGTAGTAGTAGTAGGAGTAGGAGTAGGAGTAGGACTAGGACCAGGAGTAGGGGAAGGAGTAGGAGTAGTAGTAGCAGTAGTAGTAGTAATAGTAGTAGCAGTAGTAGTAGTAGTAGTAGTAGTTGTAGTAGTAGTAGTAGTAGTTGTAGGAGGAGGAGGAGGAGGAGGAGCAGGAGCAGCAGGAGCAGCAGGAGCAGCAGGAGCAGCAGGAGCAGCAGGAGCAGCAGCAGGAGCAGCAGGTGCAGCAGGAGCAGCAGGAGCAGCAGGAGCAGCAGGAACAGCAGGAACAGCAGGAACAGCAGCAACAGCAGCAACAGCAGCAGCCGTGATAGCAGCTCGTTTTCGTTTGTTTTCCCAGGACTAGTTCGAAGTCTGATTTTCGTCTATGTCCAAAGCCAGCTCGAAACTCAGAGCACGTCATGTTCGTTCGGCATTAGAAGCCGTTTCGTTGGTTGGACGCTGGGAAGAAACGGACCTGCCGCGCGTCGTTGGAAAACGTGAGGCGACCGAGTGAACCTATGCGGCTACGACTCGCGTGCCTTGGACCTGCAGGCGGTCTAGGACTTGGGGGTCGTAGGGTTTCAGGGTTTGGCGGGCTGGGGGTTCAGACAGTTAAGAATTTTTGGGCTTTGGGGCTTGCGCTTGCGGTCTACAGCATGACGATTTCTGGCTTGAGAGTTTGAGGTTTTTGTGGTCTGATGGTTTGCAGACTTTGGAAGGTTTTGCATGCTTTTAGGACAAAGGTTGTTCTATGGTGTTGGTTCAGCAGATTTCAAGGTCTGGGTACAGGAGGTTGACGGCTCTGGGAGGTTTTGGGTCTTTACGGTTTGAAGTTTTAGGGTTTCGCAGCCGATTGCACAAGTCCTGATGCGAAAAGATGGTTTCGCGGAGGGAAGCGGCGGGATATGGGGAATTTGAGATTGTGCTTCTAGCTATTGACAGTAATTTAGCGCATGATGGTCTTGGAGGATTTAGGCTTTCCGGGTTGGGCCATGTGGGGTTACGGGTTGCGGTTTAAGGGTCTTGGCGTAGGCTCGCTGCTGGGTTGAGATCTTCGGGCTCAAGGTCGAATTTACATAAATTGCCAAAGCCAGGTCTTTGGGGCTAGAGATTATAGGGTTCCAGGGAGGTGCGGTGTGGGCAGTTTAGGCTTGAGAAACTTTAGGTGATTTGGGCTATCGGGTTCAAGGTGCAAAAGTGGGTTGGGGGCTGTAAGCAGGTTTCGGGACGTTCTAGGTATGAGATCTTTGGATGTAAGGTTCGAGGGTTTGGCCTTGGGTCTCGTTTTTTGTTAGTTTCTTTGCATAAGGTTGTGGAGCTTGGCTTACTCGTGGATGGCCGTTCACATGCTAGAGCCTCCTCTTGAAGCAAGGCCACCAGCTGTGTCGGGTTTGTGCTGACTGATATGATGTCTAGTCGGTTGAATGCTGTCCGAGACAATAGACAGGTCTCAGAAGATACTCGAGAGAGGTTTGAGGCGGCAAGTGCAGGGGTTGAAAGTAGTGCCCCAAATCTGAACGCCTGCAGGGATGGCAGCAGTCTTGCCACAGCATGAGGCGATGTGTTGTCCACCCACTCGGGCAGCTTTTTCAAGGGTTGAACCAAGCAAGCGCAAGACACTTACCAACGAACCCGTCAGAGCTGGCTGGGTCTGCACAAAGCGTAAGCTCTTGCGGATAGGGGTCCAGGAACAAAGCAGCATGAAAAAAAGCTAATCTAAGCAGGCTTGCGGAGAAACTCAGGCCTTGCATGGAGCCTCTTTATGGGCTTTTGTTTTTCGGCTGTAAGGTTCCGAGATAAGTTTGGAGTTTCGGAGTCGGACGGGTTTCTGAAAAGACTCGTGTTGTTAGGGGGTTCGTCTCGGCGAGGTCTCTGTGGTTTGACCAGCTACAGCGGTTTCGTGGACATCCCAGCAAAAGGTGGGGACGAAAAGCTTGGGTTTCTTGGCGGTAGCCTCGGGTGGGGCTCCCGTACCCATACTCGCGCATGCGCGTCTGCATCAGCCCTGTGTAAAGCCAAATCACCCAAGAAGGCCAAAGTGGAAACCCCAAGCCCTAAACGGACGAACTTCTTGTGGATAGCCGGTTATGGGTTGTGGCTGTGCTCTCCTGCTCGTCAGTTGCAAGTGTTGTGTGAAGCCTTGCGCCTGCTTTGCGCGAGAAGCTGGAATGCTCAACGCCCGATGCTCGAAGCCCTCGAACCAAACAAGTCTGAATTCTTGGAACGGCGAGGCGCTTTGTTTTACTGGTACTTTCAGCCAGAGACGGTGGACCCCTCGGCACCCATGGTGATGTGGTTGCAAGGAGGACCGCCTTTTGGGGGAACCAGGTGTGTTCATTGTCTCGAGACTAGCGCATCTCCAATGTGAGCAACGGTGCCCCTCAACCTTGAACCCCAAACCAAAAATCTAAATCCTCACAAGGATCAGCCACCCATCTTGCCTGCATTCCAGACATACCTGAGTCGCTTTTCCTTTCCTGCTTGAGTGGCTGCCGCTTGTGAGTCATCGCTAGCATCAGAGAGCCAGTTACCTCGGGTCTGGCGCCTAGGGCTAAGGCCTACACTCCTAGACCTCAAGTCTGGAAGGCCCAGGAGCATCGTCAATGATGGGCGCCTTGGCTGATCCTGAGAACTTTATACCCTTAAGGGTTATAAGTTATGATCGGTCTCAGTAATCAAAATCAGGGACGCCGAGGGCTTCGGGTGGTAAAGATAAGGACAAGGAGTTTGAGAGTTCAGGGGGCAGTCGCAGTAGGCCTGGATGAAAATGAGGGCAGCTCAAACCCGAAGCCTTGAAATGAACTTGGCTTGACATTCCAGATATGATGTCAGGGTTGAGGGCTGGAGGGTTCCTGGATTGGGGGTTGAGGATTGGTGGGTTCTGCAGTTTTCAAAGCCTGGGCTTGAAGTTTGAGTTGGGAGCTGTACTATAGGGTTTCGGGAATGTCGAGCTTGAGCCGAGGAAAAATCCGGTTTGGGGCTTCCAGTTGCAGGTTCAAGGTTCAAGAGAGCACGGTTTTGGATTTGGGGTTCGGGTTCAGGATGCTGAAATTAGGGTTTCTGTTTCACCATGAAACCAGCGTAGCAGAGTTCGCACGTTGTGCGGTAGATCGTGCGCTGTGCGGTGCGGAGGTAACTTCTTTGAGCTGGGGCCGGTGGCGCTAACACCCAAGCCGCAGCATCGCCGGATTAAGATTCGTCTGCACACCTCCACTTTCCCGGGCTTTGTGTGTGCTTGGTGTGCCGGAGGGTCGGGTTTCGGCTCCTTGCAAGGCTGCGGTTTCAGAAAGGTGGGGGCAAGTGAAAGCTAGAAGCTCAAACCTCAAGTTAGAGGCCCTTGACCCCAACACCCAAACACCCTAAGCCCTAGGCCCTAGACCCTATCCCTGGAGAAGCGGTCAAAAACCAGCTTATCCTTGTGCAGCCCGAAGTTAGTCCTGATGGCCTTCGGTATCGGATTAAAAGGTTTTAAGATTATGAGGCTTTCAGAGGGTTGGGTTTACGGTGTAGCATTCTCAAGCTTTTACGGGTTTCGGGTTCAGTCTCCGGCTTAGGGTTTCGGAAGCGCTGCAAGGAGACGTCCAAAGTTTTCTGGAGACCGATATGTAAATTTCGTGCAATAAGGGCCTCTAATGAAGAATACCAGCGTCCCTAGGGCCCTAGGATCGAACACCCGTTAAAGGGTTCAAGTTTCAGCAACCCTGCATTAGCAACCCACAAAATCATTTGAATCCTGCATCTAAACCAGGACCCGTAATACTCCTAAGCCTAAGAGGTTAGAAAATGATTCGACTAAACATTCCCCAGGGTGGTCTTACCTTCGAAGTCTCGAAAAGCGCGATGCAGCCAGCGGACCACATTTGTACCTTGAACTTCCTTTGATTTGCTTCGGCCCAAGCCTGGCAACCTACGTTTCCTACATTTTCCTACAGTCTACGGTGCCGGTTTGTGCACGCCATGGGTGATCCTGTCACTCCGTAACGGCAGCCCGTGTTACATCACCGCCTTCTTCTTGGCGGCACCAGCAGGGATGCAAAGGCCCAACCAGACGAGCAGCTACGATTCCATTCTGCAGGCTCCTCAAGAGAGGCAAGGTCCCAGCCGGAGTGGCAGCAGCATCAGCATGAAGTCAATCCCAAACAATCGCATTGCACCAAGTCCTGAGCACGGCGCAGAATCTGCAGACCGCAGCATGCAACAGATGATGCCAATTCTGGTACAACTTGTTTCCCAGATGCTGGGCTATGTTGAGCACCCATGTAAATCCATGTAAATCCAAGCATTAGTAACATTAGTATGCATGCAAACTCGATAAGAAAAATGAGTGAGAGGTTCTAATCCCGATGATTGCCCAGGATGGATGTGGTAAACCCAGAAGTCTTGAGGGTGACACCGGTTTTTCGCGCTTTGGAACACTTTGGTGCAGCGTTACGTTTGGGATCTGCCGGCGACTTCTACAGCAAAAGTCACACGAGTCAAAAGATATCGACATTTTGGAGTCACTCTTGGCGTGGCGGGCGTTGGAAGAAATTGTTCGCAATTATCACTTTCTACAACGGTACTGCTGCAGTATCCTTGGCTTTGCTCACAGGGGCGTGTATGATGGTGCTCTTCATTTTGGGAATCCTCCCTGGAATTGACCGCGGATGGTGGGATGACAGTTTTCTGTGGTCTTGCTGGTCAACTTCTTCAGGGCTCGTCGTCGCGAGTCTGGTCATGCTTCTTTGGCGACCACGCGATGGAGTCTTCCTTGACCGGATTTGTATTTGCCAAAGCAACCCGCGCCTGAAGACGGATGCGATCCTCAGCCTGGCCGGGCTGTTGAAAAGCTCCGACAGCATGCTCATTCTGTGGGACCCAACATGGACTGAGAGGTGGGATGGCGGGTGAAGGCTGTTTCAAGGATTCAAGCAAGAAGCAGCCTAAAGGTCAACAACTTTTCTGCAGATTGATTAGTTTTGTTTTGCTATCCGAGTACAGCCACCTACTAGTGGTGAGAGCAATACCAGTCGTCCCAGCAATGGTAGGAATGAGAATTGCAGTTAACACGCAGCAGTAAGCTGACCTAGGTAGGCCAAGCAGACGTACTTCTCCCGAAGCCAAGCCAAACCGAGCGGGGCCAGGCCAGGTCAGGCCAGGCCCAACCAAGCGAAGCCAAGCAACAGCCCTGCCAAACCTGTTAGACTCTTCAGTTTTGGTTATAGAGTGTTCTTCTTCGATCCCTCATCAGTTCTCTGTCGATACAAAAACGGAACGTTTATGTGTGATAAGCAAAGGCTTGTTCAATCCTGACCCCTGAGAGGTTGTGGTGCTTGTTCGAGCTGGCCGCTTTCCTGAAAAGCAAGTCAACGCAAGAACAGTGCCTTACTGTCAGGCCCGTTTTCATGGGACCTCTTTCCATCGCAGTCTTCCTTACTTTTTTTTCAGTTGCAATGCCGATCTCAACAGCACCTGTCGAGACAGAAAGAACAGTCGTGGAGCTACTGGCGACCATCGTGTTGTGGTTTTCAGTGGTTGCTTTCCCGACCGTCAGCACTGTCCGAAGCTACTTCAGAGACTTAGACACCATGAAGCTGCAGTTGTTGTCGATCTCAGTTGATTCTACAAGAAGTTCATGCTGTGATCAGAACCACGTGACCAGTTTGGGCAGACCTTTACTCTGTGACCGCAAGATGCCGGGTCGCAGTTGAGCGCCTTTCCACATAATATGAATGTCTGTCATGAAAGGAATGCAAGTGAACTTTTTGATGGCCAGAGTAGCAACCAAGGATCGTGAAAGAGTGCGTGAAGATTTGGTTCGGTAGCGAGTCATCTTTTGAGGAGACGGTGCGCACGAAGGTGTTGGACATTCTGCAGCGTGACCTCACCCAGACAGTATTCAGTACATCGTGGGCTTTGGGCGTAACTTCTCCAATCGTGTTGGCTTTCATGGACATCTCTGCCAGCTGGACCCAAGTCACTTTTGATCCGCTGTGGCATCATCCTGCTATTGCCCTTCTGCTCGAAGGTTTGGTGATTTGGCTGTTGTTCGTCCCAGCTACCAAGGATCTCATGATACTTTTGCTCAGGCTTGGGCGGCGGCGACCGAGGAACACTTGTGTGGAGCTTCTCAAGAACGCATTTCTGCTGGGAGTTGCGGCTATCCCTGTCCTTGTATTGGTCATGTCTTATGGCCTCACTCGATTTACTGACCTTGTTGTTTTCGACACAGAGAATGCTTTCCTTCGGGCAGTAGGTTTTGCATGCTGCACGCTGCTTATAGCACTGTGCAACTTCCTGCTAGGACTTGGTCTGAAGGCACTGTTGCGGCGGCCTGGTTGGTAATGCTACACAAAACCACATCTCTCCGTAGAACCGCCAGCATAGCTTTTCACGATGCACCCTTGATTGGGGTTGCTCCCATTCTGGCCTTTGATTCTCTCATCAAGACGTTGCCAGATTCTGCCAAAAACGTTCTTTGCTCATAGTCGGGCTGGGCCCCTGTTCAAGTGCCGTTTAGCTACTTCTGTGTGGTGGAGCTGTTAGAAGCTATGTCCTCTGGGGCCCTAGCGTTGCATTCCAGTCTTGTTTTCTTCTGCGTTTGGAGCCCTACACGTGGGTTGGGGAGCTCTGGGCAGGGCCTTCTGGAAATGGATGCTTATGCTGCGTTTCCTGAGCCCCACGCCGAAAGTCGGAAATCCCGATGTGCCCAGCCCTTGCGTTGATGCAAATCCTGAGAATGACAGCGCAGCTTTGTAGAACAAGGAGAAACAGAAGCGATTGCGGGGTCATCGTGTTACGACCTCAGGTCACTGGTGCGTCGATCTCCAAACGAGACCTGGGCGTCTTACATGCCGGCGGGGCAGATGGGTTGTTATCGCTTCGATGCCATCAACTAGATGCTGCGGATCTACTTAGATCTACAAATTGCAGGGCCCATAGACAAGTACGAGCGGTAGGCAGAAAAAGGGTTTAGGCTCAGGACCGAATAGTTCACCCACTGATGAAAGCCTCCATCGGACGTGGCGTAAATCGATCGGGGTGCCACCAGCCCTGAACCCTCACATTAGTTGCAATTTTCCCGTATCTTCAGGTTGCCACGAACAGAGCCCCGAAAAGCCAAACCCTCAAACGGGCCGATTGACCGTGTGCACTGCAAACCAGCCTTCAGCCATGGCAGCACTGGTCTCTCATCTTTCCCACGCCCCGAGCCCGAAAGCCTTCGGCAGAAAGATGCTGACCTGCTATCGCACAACCCCTCACTTACTGGTTTGAACTTGTGGGATTTCGAGGGGAGGACACGTCTTTGAGAACAGTCACGTTACGCGTTGCTAGAGATTGTTGATGATATAGTGACGATGCCTCCTAGTGTAGTCTCACTCAACAGACTCCGAACCATGTGCCTCGCCTGGATTGTCCGAGTGTGAGCGCTGAAACAGCAGGTTCTCTTCGTGGACTCCCCTGTGGGGACCGGCTGGTCCTGGGCCTACCCAGGAGGTTTCGCTGTGAGCCAGGTGTCTCGGATTTGGCTTAAGGGCGAGTCCATGAACTGGAATTCAGGGCTTACTGTGGGATCAGATAGGGTGCAGGGGACTGCGGATATTGAATTGAGGTTCTCGCGAACCACTGAGCACAGTGGTGATATCAAGTACATGTATATATATATATATATATAATATGTATGTATGTATGTATGTATGTATGTATGTATGTGTATATATATATATATATATATCTATCTATATATATATATACACATATACATAGATGTACATCTACATGTATGCATACATGCATACATGTTTATTTATTTTTATATATACATGTGTTCTACCCCCGGATGTGCCTACCTGTTCTGCGTGTTTATAGCACCTCATGTGCATAGGCGCTGGCGACATCAATTTAGCATAGTTCTTTGTACAGTTCACAAAATATCCATGTCTGATCCATTCCCTACAGTTTCACAGTCAAGCCGTATTGGCGATACATCTGTTATTGCTTCGGTGAGAACTAATGCCCAGTTAATGCTTGTTGTTGAAGTTGCATGCTTTTTGTAGCGGAATATTGCTGAAGTTTTATGGGAACTTCACATGTTCGATGAGTATAGACTGAATACTTACAAGTTTCTTTTTGCTAAGACGATTTTTTCATATTGTGAGCAGCAAAACCTCGGCACAACACTTTAATGGTAATGATAACATTCAGATGAGCGTTAATTACTAGAACACTGATGCGCCGCCTGAATACGACGTAAATACTATATGCTAAACAAAAACCATTCAGTTTCGGAGTTGCAATGAGCGACGTCCAAGCGAGCATGTAGCCATTACCATTCAAACGCCAAACGAGGAGTCCACCAAATAGAGGTTTAATGCTCAATACGTGTGATCGGAGAAATGAGTAATTTACATTTAATGAAAGGGTACCTGAACAAGTGCTATGTGCAATTGATACGCGATAACCAAGTTATGGAAACATCCGGGTTAAGTATATGTTATATATGACTGCCTATTGACTACATGTGCAGGACAGACAAGCTACTTAGCACCAGGAAGAACTCAGCTATATAGGAAAAGATAGTTTGCTCAAGGTTTATGCGAACGTGAAATGTTGACCGAATACAAATCTGACGCTTTTTTGTTGAAGCAGCAGTTGATCATAGTCGCCGAATTCATTGAACATCAGTCGGCTATTATGTGGGCCCAAAGCATTGAAGAGTCTCATGGTTTTCGACCTCTTTGAGCGCGAAAGTGTGGGGAGATCCCAAGCATTTGGGGATGTGGGGGTCCAAAACATTGCGACTTCTCATGGTTTTGCGACTATGGGAGTGCGGAAGTGCTGAGAGGTCCCAATATTTGAGGGCCTAGGACCTGTCTAGGAGTCCAAAACGCTGGAAGGTCCCAATATAACGAATAAAGCTAAAGGTTTGGAGTCTGCAGGCCCATGTTGAGCCTGCCCAGAGACTCTCCAGCATTGGTTTTATTGGGACGTTCCATGGTTTTAGTCTCTTAGACCCCCGAAACATTGGGACCTCTCATGGTTTTGGAACTCTTTGGGCGCGAGAGGTCCCACTGCCTTTGGTAGGGTCCCAAAACATAGGGATTTGTAATGGTTTTACGACTTTGAGAGTGCGAAAGTGTGGAGAAGTCCCAATATTTGAGGGTCTAGGAGCCCAAAACACAGGAAGGTCCCAATACAACCAATAAAACCAATGCTGGAGAGTCTCTGGGCAGCATGCGCCTGGAGAGTCCAAATCACTGGTTTTCTTGGTTTGATGGGATACATTGCGTGGTCTCGTACTGTTAGTTTTGCATTGTGCTGTGTTGTGTAGCAGTGCAATGGTCTGGTCTGGTTTGGTGCGATATGGGGTAATATATAGTATGATATAGCATGTTTGTCTACATATGCAGAGACACTCACATACATATATACAATCACACATGCGTACATGCACCCTTTGCACCTATGGTTTGCAAGTTCTCCCAGCATTGGTAGTTTCCCTTGCGCGAACATGGTCCTGCGGTCGGTACTTTCAGGTTTGGAAAAGGTGCCGTCAAGTTTCGAAAGCCTCGAGGGCACCAATTTACAATCGTTGCTTGGAGGCCTTGGTCCGAAAATCAACCTCGAAGCTTCAAGCCTTTACCCTGCTCAATTTCGAAGACACAGCATAGCAACATCCTTAGCCCAAACGGTCTCAAAGCCTTCTTACCTTAATGGGCGGAGGTGGAAGTCGCAGAGGACCTCGTGTTCTTCCTACAGAAGGTGGCTGAGCGCTGCTTGGTGCCGCACTTGTTGCACTGTTTGGGGTTTAAACAGGCGGAATGAGTTGCAAGAGCTGAACCTCCGCGCGTGCTTAATTAAACCGTGATGCGATTGCACAAGTCCTAGTGCAAAACCAGGGCACGGTTATCAACTAGTTTTGTTGTAGCACCAGAACCAGGCAGTCAGAAGCAGCGGAATGAATGGAGTCAAAGCCAACTGCTGCACTGACAAGAACGACTTGAACCTTGCAAAGCAGGTGGAACAGAACCATGTTCACCGCTGCAGCACCCAACAACCGACCTGAGCTGCATGCTAGGCCCTGGACTCCAAGACTTCACAAGACCTCTGAGAGAAACGCAGGTTTTCTTAGGATGGGTGGTCTCGTGTGGAGGTGTGCATCTGGAGCGCGGTTGTTAGATTTAGAAATTTAGAATCCGGAGTGCTGGACCAGCTGCTTCAAAGCTTGGCGACTCTGTTAAAAGCAATCCAGGGCTCGCCTCTTTCTGGTTCCTCGGGAATCTGTGCCCAGTCTGTCAGAGCCTTTTGTCATCCCTTATCTTGAGCATTCCAGGCTTGCCGCTGTCTCACCGTCGCCTCGTCCTGGCTGGAGAGCACCTCAGCCCAAGCTGACTTCCGAAATCACAGCGCTTTGTTGGATTGTGACACGTTGAGGTTGAGGCTTATTGTAATGAAGTTGGCAAGCCCTCCAACATCAGCAGATTTAGCTCACCGACTTGACTTGAGGACATTATAGTTTCACGCAGTCTGGAAACAAAAGTTTGCGTCCCGTGGGCTTCTTGTAAAGCCATACATAGGCCCTGACTCTAAACTCGCAACATCCGACAGCCCTCAACCTCAGATGCAGCATGAGATGGCCGGTCCGCCTGAATCGTTTTGCTGTGGGGTGTGGGTTGCAGGGTTTAGGCTTCAGGGGCAGCTGAGAGTCCAGCTTGCCGGCATACACCCAAAGCTCGTGCTGAAAGGTGCAGCTGACTGTGGTTTCAGTCAGCATGCTTGAACATAGCCGGGGTGCGACATGTAAGCCTGCTGCAGAAAGGGATCAGCTGCAGGAAGCAATGTAGGCATGTCGGAGGACCTCCACGTGTGATGCTGGGTTACCGCAGAATACTGTGAAGTCGGGATCTCTGGTCCAGGGGTCCAAATGCAGATGGGTGCTGCGAGGTTTGTTCTGGCAGATGAAGTTTATCGGTCTCCAGGTTCGTTCGACGCTTCTTCAGGTCGTATGGCGGACACTTCGTGCCAGCACTGGGGGATATGCTCCTGACCTCAAAGTGCTGCTGGGCATCCATTGAGTTCAATAGCTTAAGCTTGATGCACGCTGCCAGTGTTGAAGCCCTGTGAACGGCCTCGTTCCGGACTTTTCTCAAGCTTTGTGCCAGCCTGTGACATTGCCCATCCCACCCGCATGCGACAAAACGCTGCTCGAGGTCCCTTTCAGCTGGAGGCCATTGCCATTGGTGATGGGCTGACGGACCCGGCGACTCAGGCGAAGCAAGCACAATGCCCAAGCAGAAAAAATTGCATTCGGCACTCCAAAATCCTACGAAGAGCAAACCGGCGCGAAATGTGTTGGAGCAGGTTCAGCAACGCGACTTCGTCGCCTGAAGAACTGGCGTGGGTCTCCGGAATCACCACGCCCGGCAGCCCCAAGAGTACTCAAGCTCACAGCTGTAAGGCAAGGGTTACTAGTACGGGACGGAATTATATCTAAGGGGTAACATAAGGTCACTCTTAGAATCCGCAAGACCGCTGACCCTTGCGCTCTGTCTTCCCAAGCTCCGGTGGCTCCAACAGCTAAGTTGAATTCTTGGACTAAGTTTCTTAGGGCTGTTGGGCTTTGCATTGTTCTGGTTTGCCTTTCGCAATACTATATTCCCTAGTCTCAGCAAGCACTTCCCTCGGCTCCTACGCCCCGCCCTATATTCTTAGA